GGATAGCTCAAAACTATTTTACACGGCTTACGTGATTTTATAAGCCATTCATTTAATTAAGCATTAATTTCGGTTCTTTGAATGCCTACAGTGGTGTTCAGAACTCCTCATGCTTTCTCTTTGTGTTTTCATAGGAAAGCGACATGAGATTGAGCCTGAGCAGAAAGGGGGCCTTCGTTCCTGCTGCCGTCGGAAGGAAGGGGCTGCTAAGAGCAGCTTCCAAGTCTTAGCCTCACCTCTGAAGAGCTGCCCCTACAGCTACTTCTCACTGAAACAAAGCAGTCCGCTTTACTTAGGGCCCATGGGGGCCTGCGTTGGCTGTACAGAGGGTGAAGGCACCTGCTGGGTAGGTGTTCGTGTTCTGTCTCCTGGGAAGCTTCTAGGGCCTCAACAGTATACTCTGTGAGGGAGGGAGGCTTGTCTTAGCAGGTGCCTCATCCTGGCTTAGCCTTCCTCCAGTGACTTGTGACCCAGGGGGAAAGGCCAAGGTCAGTACTTACTGTCATGGACTGAATGTGCCTCCCCAGGTTCATATGCTAAAGTCCCAAACCCCAACAGGATGGCATTGGGAGGTGGGGCTTTGGGGAGTCATTAGGTTTAGAGGAAGTCATGAGGGTGGGGGCACCATGATGGGATTCATGTCCTTACAAGATGAGAAAGCGGGACCAGAGTGCATGTTCTCTCTCTCTCTGCCATGTGGGGACACAGGGCTCTCCTCCATCTGTGAGGCAGGGACAAGAGCCTCCGCTGGGACCAAATCCACAGTGTCTTGGTCTTGGACTTTCTAGCCCCAGAGTGATGAGAAATCAACATCTACTGTCACAGGTTTGGTTAGAGCAGCCTGAGCAGAGGGATGGCATATGTTCCCTGCACCCCGAAGGGCAGGCCTTTGCTTTGGCACGAGGCACCTGAGGGACCCACAGGGGCCGCAGACAATTGTGAGAAGAAAAATAATAGAGCCAAGAGGCTGTGAACTGCATAAACAATGGGATGCACAGGGATGTCATCCCCAGGCTGCCAATGTCAAGGGTTAGTTATCAGGTCTTTAGCAGGTGGGTGGCATTTGTGAGCATTTACTGCTGCTAAGCCCTTTACACACATGGTCTTATCCTCACACACCTGAGGAAGGCAAGACTGATGTTGACATCATCAGCAGCAGCAGCAGCCCCAGGTTACAGATGAAAACACTGAGGCCCAGGGGAGCCCGGGGGGCTCAGCAGTGGAGCATCTGCCTTGGGCTCAGGTCTTGGCATCAAGTCCAGCATTGGGCTCTCTGCTTAGTGGGAAGCCTGTTCCTCCCTCCTGCTTTCTCTCTCTGTCTCTCTCTCTCTCTCTGTCTCTCACTCTCTCTCTCTCTCTCAAATAAATAAAATCTTAAAAAAGAAAAGAGAAAAGAAAAAAGAAAAGAAAAGAAAAGAAAGAAAAGAAAATCGAGGCCCAGAGAGGCAAATCACTTGCTTAATGCCATGTGGTTGGTGAGTTCTGGAATGAGCACTGCAATCAGGCCTGACTCAAGATTTTGGGTCCTTAACCCCAAAGCCAGAGCACAGCAGGTCAGCACCTGCAGGTGGAGCCAAGCTAGGCACAGGCCTGGGAGAAGGCCAGCCAGTGACTCGAACCACGGGGGCCAGAGGTGCAGACCAGCCTATTCTGAGCACCTGCTGCCTCCTCGGACCCCAGAGTCTGCACATGCGCTCACCCGAGCTGCAGCACCACCCGGAGGCAGGCCCAAAGGCACCACTGCTTCCGTTTTGTGATGACAAAACTTTACCGCATGGAACACAGATGCCGCTTACATGTGAGTCGCAGGTAAAAGCATCATGAATAGTTTGTACAAGTGTGTCCCAGACACTTCTTGTGTGTGTGCGGCTAATGTAGCTGGTGTCCTGTGCCACTGATGGCTCCATGGGGGGGGTGGGGGAGGTGTCTGTGACCCTCAGGCCCAGCGGCAGGGCGTGGTATGTGCAGTATTGGGAGGCCCAGGGGTGGGGGGGTGGGGGGCTGGGGGGGAGGGGAAGGGGTGGGGGGTGACCGTCCCTCAGCTACAGAACTGGACTGGGGAGCCCTGGTGTCATGGAACCAAGTCCTGGCAGTGATAGGCACCTGGCTAGTGGTGACAGCAGCAAGTTCCTGGGGACAGGCTGTGATCGGTGGCGGGCAGCCTTCCCAGCCACAGACCTGGCATAACCAGTGGTTACCAGGGAGACAGGGGTAGGAGGGGGTTAGAACCACGCTGGGCCTCAGGACAGGCCTGTGTTCTTGCCTGGCTCTGCACCAGTAGCTGCGGCCCTTGAGCAGGCTGCAGGGCCCCTCAGAATCCCCAGGGCCCCTGCCAGGCCCACAGGGGGATTATTTTTCCACATCTGCCCCTGCGAGCTCCTTGGGGGTAGGCACTGGACCTATCAGATACGTGCGGCTGCACAACAGTCAGTGCTCAGGCAGCGCTTGACCTAAGAGGGGCCACTCCTGGGAGGAGCTTTGGGAAAAAGAGAGCAGGTGTGTGGGGCACAGAAAGTCCTCGTTTTATGTCCTGAATTGAACGGTTTAAGTTTAAAATGTATGAAACGACGTGTTCAGTTTTTAAATATAACTTTTAAGGCAAAAGTGTACAATCTAGCCCTGCTTTCGAATCATTTGCTATCCCCTCAGGCCCCGGGTAAGAAGAAAGATGGTAAAACTGATGTTCTCAGCAACTGAGCTCAAAAAGACAGTACAGCATTTGCTGTAAGGCACATTCCCAAGGATCTCAGGCCCCATCGCATCTCCCTCCGGCTGCAGCCCCCATGGCCTCCTGCCTCGGATTGTGGCTCAGCTGCAGGCTTACGTATTATAAGCTGTTGGCAAATCATGGCTGTTCTGCTTCTTTAAAGGAAGATCATAAGGTCACCAGCAGCCAGAGGCCAGTGTCAGGCTGTAACCTCACCCCCGGGAGCACAGCGCCCACTCCCAGTCCCTGGCAGTGCTGCTGCCCCAGTGCTGCGTTCATGCCACATCCTGCTCAGCTGCCGACAGCTCTGGCTGAAACAGTCTCCCCAGGACACTGTCATACAGCAGGCTCCTTAGGTGAATGGCGCTTTCCTTCTCACTCAAAGCCAAAGGGGACAAACCTGCCAGACTGGCCACAAGGCCATGCAAGTCCATGATTTGCAACCTGCTCGGTGAATGGCAAGAAGCACACAACCGGGTCTAGAGACACAATGCAGTGCCAAGAAAAATAATAAATGTGCAGGATTTGATGATACCACTCAGAAAAAGAAGAATCAGAACCATTTCCCTCTGAAATAACTGGATTGTTTTGGCCACAACCCGAGTTCTATATAGCCAACCCCTTTGCCCACATTCTTTTCTGTTACTTGGAGTTGTTTGTGCAAATCAGTTAGCATTCATGGTAAAATCAGGAGAACCAGAATGCCAAAAAAAAAAAAAAAATCTATTTCCTCTCACGTAGGATACTGGTTGTTCAAATGCAACTATTTCACACTCAATGTGTAAAATATGTTTCTGTGCTGATTAGTAAAGACGGCTCTGTGCTGGTCTGGTAAAGCAGTTCTGGTTTTAATGAGGGAGAAGCCAGTTAAACCTGGGTAGAAACACCTTTCTTATGTCAGGATGACATATTCCTCCCCAAGTGAGAATCCATGCCTTATTCTCAATTTTAGAAGATGATGCATAGTTTTTTCTTGTGCTTTTTTTTTTTTTTTTGGTGTGTTTTCTGATTTTATTTTGGAGTTGATCAGAGTTATTTTCTAACTGGAATGAGCCACTATTAAAACAATTTTAAAAGTTACTGAGTATCGAGTGTGAAGTATTTGTTGATGCATTGAAAAGAATGGATGCCATGCCGGTTTCGGAAAGAAAGCCATTCCGGAGCTGGTGCTTCCTCACACACACGTCAGCAGCTTGGAAAAGGCCATATCCTTGTGGAAATGTAAAGTGATAGGCAGGACCTCACATGTCATCGCCACAAAATGTGAGAGGTGAAATATAAGTAGAGTGTTTATCTCTTTCCTGAGCTAAAGGAAGGAAGCCTCTGGAGACATGTGGTATGTTTGGAAGATGAAGATAAAGGGACATGGCCTTTTGCTCCAATGACAGGACAGTAGAAAGACCATCCAGCTCTGGCTTTTCACCTACTTTGCTTCTCTGGCCTCGAGCCCCAGCAGAAGGAACTGTGCGAACCTATGAGGAACTGTGCACAATCCATAGGGGATGGGAGGCCAACCCCATCCATGCACAGAACACTGTGATGGCACGATGCCCACGGATGGGCTGGGATCCTGTCTGCCCGCCCATGGTTTGGGAGTCACCCATGTGTACCAAGGGCTCGAAGACAGAATGGCACCGAACCTGGCTGTCACTGTCCAAGGTCTGTGTTGACTGTTATTCATTCTCTTTTACCCCTGAAACATTATTAAAGTGCTTTTTTTGTGTGTGTGTGTCACTCTGTCAAGTACTTTCATCTACAATAATGTTTGATTTATTTTTTTTAAAGACTCTATTTATTTATTCCTGAGACACACAGAGAGAGAGGCAGAGATGGGCCATCGTAGTATTTGACATTCCATCCTAAGGACTAGACTTTGAGCAGATCTGATGATTATCTTTGTTACCAAATAGTACCTGTGGTCTCTGAGATGCTGTAGTAGAATTTCTTCTTAAAGAAAATTGTACTTGTGTTGTAGTAGCCCAGCATCCTTACATCATCTCTATGGCCCATTATCTCTTTCATAAAAATGGATATCCTTTCAATTGTCCTTTTTTCTGACTTGTAAGGGAATTCTCTAAAAAGAGACCTTGAACTGGAGGTCAAGTTCTACTTATATCTGTTTATAAAAGCTGACAGAGCAAGAAAGATTCTTCTACATATAGATTGAAATGGAACTTTCTAGAAAAAGGTGCTGACAGTCTCCTTTTATCGGACTTCCATCCTTTCGAGTTTCTGTGAAATGGGACATTGAAAAGCAAGTATTAGAGTCCAAGAAAGATGCTGTGCCACTTACCCATGCAGTTGGGGCCCCAGTGGCCTGGACAGCACTGAGGTTGGACGTGGTCCTTCCTACAGATATGGCGGCATCCGGGGAGATACAGCGAGTACTTCCTGATCTCGAAGGCGTACCTTGTGGGGGAAGAGGACATCATGATCAGAGCAACATAGTTAACTCCGGGCAGTGGGGTTGGCCCAGATTTTTACTTAGGTCTCCCTTTACACTTGCCTATTATTTGAAAAAACAGAGATTGAATACACTTTGCTGTCTGGGGAGAGTAAAAATCATGATTGACCTTTGATTGTATGAAATGGCTGAAAAAACCAGAGCACAATGAAAATGAAGGTGAAATGTCTACAGTGATGTCACAAGTGAGGTTAGAAGACGCCAGGTGGTGTCAGGGTGTCAGGGTAGGCACGTGCTAGGGGTGTACCTCACACCTGTCTGTCTCAGCCAATGTGAGAAGGATCTCTGGGTTTTAAACAAAACCAGCTGCTGCTTAGAATCAGCGCTTTTTTTTTTTTTTTTTCAGATACTGTAGATGTTGACATTTCTGTGAGAGGCGGTGTAATTCACAGGCAAGATTTGCCACAGTTTCCTCAAGGGAGATGTGGTGATGAGTTTCTTAAAAAGGTTTTATTGTCACTGAGGTACAGACTGGGAGAAGCGAGTCTATGGAAGCTGAACACCATTGTCTATTCTCGGGGAATCTCTGCATGGACGGCTTACTCTGGGATTTGACTTTAGTCTATCTAGAGACGATCCTCCATGGGTATCGTTTCTCTCAATGAGGCCTGTCAGGAATCGTGTGATGGTGAGTCCCTGGGCTACTGGCCTTATGGGCAATCAAGTTGGAGACAGAGCATACAATTCCCCTGAAGGCTTGAGAATACTGGTGGGGGCGTCTCTTCACAAAGATGGGAGGAGGAAGAGCAGAGGGCAGAACCACGTGTTGCCTCAAGAGCCAATCGTGGATTTATTTCATCATAAAAGGATGACAGATCAAAGCCCTCAATTCTAAAGCAGAGAGAATGAGTGCAGTAACCCCGCCTATGTGTGTGTGTGTCTCTGTGTGTGTGTGTATTGGAGGGGGATGGTGAGGTGGGGAGCATGTATCTGAGTATCCACCTTGCTGGGAAAAAAAAAGTAGCCAGTACAAAAAAAATCCCTCATAAAAGTCACCACATAATTTTCACTGTGAACCATATGTCCCTCCATACACTTAAGAGGATCTAGCCACAAATGTATGCCTGCTGTGGTCGCCGACTGGTCAACTATCACATATGCTTGCTAATTCTAGGTCAGGTAGTATTTGGAACCTTTTATTTTATTTTTTTTAATTTTTATTTATGATAGTCACAGAGAGAGAGAGAGAGAGAGAGAGAGAGAGAGGCAGAGACACAGGCAGAGGGAGAAGCAGGCTCCATGCACCGGGAGCCCGATGTGGGATTCGATCCCGGGTCTCCAGGATCACGCCCTGGGCCAAAGGCAGGCGCCAAACCACTGCGCCACCCAGGGATCCCTATTTGGAACCTTTTATTTAAACTTATGACCTTGGTTTCAGAATCTACTGGGGTCACATTAAGCAAACGTGAATTTAGAATAGTGTGACATGACAGTGTTCCGTTCTTATTTTACACAAAATAAGAAATGGTACTGATCTTCATCACTGAATTAGGAATTAACTCATTTCGACCCATCTAATGTCTAAGTTAGTAGGCTGAGTACATAAAACGTGGTGTTTACATTTGAGGTGGGTGCCACTTCTATTAGCTCTGAGGGAAACTGCTTCCTCCATCCTTTGTGAGGCTCTGCCTTGAATTACAAGAGTTTTGAACCAGAAGAGGATTTCAGAAAGGCCATCCTCATATAAAACGCATGAAGCTGCAATTCCTTTGTCGTCCTTCTTCAGGTTCTAATTAGTATCAGGGTCCTCAGCTAGCTTGTAAGATGACTGTCAGACCCCTCGCTTTTCAGTCCATGTTCTGGCTGGAAGCCTTCCCAAATGAAACAAAACCCAGATTTTCAAAATAAAGAAGGGCAAGATGAAGGGAAAATGTTTATGTGTAATGCAATTTGGTCAGTTTTGTATTAAAATGTGAATCAATAGTATATTTTTTAGATTCAAGGTGGTTAGTTGTGAGTTATTTAAGTTTGGACCGAATGAAGTCTTAGAATAAGGGAAAATCATGGAAATGCTTTGCAATTTTTGAGATGGGAAGTTTCTTTTTTCTTTTCTTTTCTTTTTTTTTTTTTTTTTGAGATGGGAAGTTTCAATTTGGCTTCACAAACCCCTTAAATTTCAAGACTTGAACATGCTTGTTTTCTCATGAGTACCTGCAGTCTCGGACCCCCATGGAGCCATTGGTAACCTTGGTGTAGCCGTCTGGGCACTTAATTCCCAAGTTGAGTGAGCAGGATTGGCACTCGGTCCTAATGGTAAGCAGAGATTTCTTATCGCATCTATTTGCCTGTGAAAACATTAAAAAAAAAAAAATCAAGTCTCATTAGTAGAGCCTGGGTTGGTCAACGTTCCCCACCCATCAGCTTCATGTCCACGGAATGGCAGGGATGGCAACAAGATGGGTTGGTGATGACTGGCCTGTCACTCTCAACCTTATTTAGAAGGAGTGTTGGGATCATCAGGCAATGCCTGCTATGGCCGCGGGTGGGAAGGCAGCCCCTGGCACCACCTATTTGCCGTCCTTGATCTGTGGTCTAGAATTCAGCAAAGCACAATCACGTCATTACACACACATACCCAGTGGGAAATCTGAAATATACTGTACATTTTCCAAATGGGAAAACTTTAAAGCAGTTACTTAGGGTCACTTGGTTGTAGATCAAGAATGTTCTTTCCCATGGATTCTACAGAAACAGTCCAGTCTGGGTGCTAACTGCTGTGAAGCATGTATTTCCTGCTTCAAAAGATTGTCTGAAATCTTTTGATTATAATTCAGCTAGAATATGGGCTCCAAGGGGCAGTGACCTTTTTCTGTTTTGTCCTTGATGGTACCCTAAGCACCTAGAATGGTGTGTGGTGCACAGGAGCTCTCAGTAAATATCTGTGGGTTGAATGAGTTGTAGGAAACACAACAAACACACTAGAAACAGTTGCTCAGCACCATCAGGTGGTGGAAACTCAGGTGCTGCAGACCCACTTTGGCCCCGTCTCCAGGATCCCTTATCATCCATGATGTTGATGCTGATCCTCCCAAGTGGATTTGGTCCTTCCTCAAGTCTCCCTCATTTCCCATCAAGCTTAGGAAGCAGCAGCTTCGTACCAGGAAGAGAGGCTGAATCAGGGAGTCTGGAGACCTGAGCCTGGGATCAGGCTGTGTTATGTGGCTAGTGCACAGTCGTGAATTAATTCCATGCCCTGCAATGCAGAGACGGTGACCGCACACCCCAGCTTGCAGAGACCCTTACACGGTATGATATGTGCAAGTTGCCTGGCAGGGACCTGGATGGTCGTAGGTGCTGAACTCTCCTGCGCTCCTCCCCTGCTTCTCCACCCTGCCCGCCCCGTGTTTGGCTTGTTGCCTCTCCTGGTAGGAGTGTGTTAGTTCTCCCCCTACCCACCATGCTTCACTCTTCAGGGCCCCACGGGCCACACCACTTCCCCAAAACCATACCTATCTCTTTTCCTTGCTTCAACTCCTACCCTGCGTGTTGCTGGCCAGTAGGATACATCTTGTCTTTGCTTCCTGTTCAGAAAACCCTTGTGGGAAAGGATCATGTCTCTCCTTACTCACCCCTACCCCCAAACAGCTGAGCCTGGCACTGGTAGGGATGGTGGGAATGTCATAAATATTTCTGAGTCTACTAAAAGGCATAAAGGCTGAATAAGAAGAAATCTTATTTTTGCAGGGAACCTTATGGTCGCACACACTCCGGAAGGCATCACCTTATGCAGTCGTGCTGGTGTCAAAGACCAGCAGGGCAGATTCACCATGCCCACACGAGGGGGAGGATGCTGAGGGGAGGGAAGCTTCAGTGACTCGCAAAGTTCATGGTCTTCTGACTCCTGGGTGGGCTAGCCCTCCTCCCTACCGGCTGGTACAGAGAAACAAAAGGGGCAGCTTTCCTTTGTGGTTGTTAGGAACCAAAACAGCCCTGGAAGGCTTGCTGTAGAATAACAATAAAAGCCACCCTCAGTTATTCGGTATGTTGGCAAATTGAACACCAATAAAATATAAATTTATTATTAAAAAAAAAAGCCACCCTCAGCGGCAATTTGAATCAACTCCCTTTAAGGGTCATAGAACCTCCAGATTTTTTAAAAGGATTTTCTTTGTAGTAGGTTTTCCCACTTAGATAAGTGTATGGAAGGACACTACTTTTTCTTGTCTTTCCCCAAAGGTCAGATTTCGTACTCTCTTTTCAAGAAATGTCTTGACTTTCAAATTGGCCTTTTCAAATAAAATGGTTCATTTTCTCTCTCCAACGGTCTCCTCTGAAAAGCAAACCCAGCCTCAAAACCTGGTCAAGCTGTGATTTCTGGCCTAAGCAAGCCCTCTCTGACGCTGAGGTGGTGATGGGCTGCATGGGGAGCACTATCGGGGCAGAAACTAAAGTCCAGGGACACTAATGTGCTCAGCTTGACCCGCTAGCAGGCTGGGGGCACCGGGATGGGGCCTCAGAAACAGCCGTCAAACAAGTGAGGGCCCTGATTCCAGCTCAGTGGTCCCCGTCCCCTAAGCTGGAGCACCCGCCCGTCAGTTGTCTTCTGGCGTTTTCAGGAAAAGCATCATCCATAATTCAGCCACTGGCATCAGGCCTGTGTGGGCGAAGGCTCGCCCGGCACAGGTGCAGCACTGTGTTCGTGTCTTGTTACTGATGAAGCAGAAATCATGCCTCCCGAGATGCATTTTGAAAGGATCCCCAGAGGGCCTCGCGAGCGCTCCTGGCATAGGGCGGCCCCGCTGCACCCCGGCACCCGGCCTGTGCCCATGGGGATCTCGCGGCGCCTGCCCCCGCGCAGCTGGCACCACGGCCCGGGGTGCTTGACCACAACCTGTGGAAGTTCCCGTTACCGCCGTGTTTGTCCAGCAGACATCACCCGCCCGGACCTGGCCAGAACATCTCTCTACTCATCCCTCTTCAACCACTGCTATTTCCTATGCTCACAATGATGCGAGGGGGATTCACGGTGATGAGACTATGAAGATAAAGGAAAAGAGAGCAGCAGCAATAAGACCCCCCCGGGTGCCAACATGCGCCGTGGGAGCAAGGAGGGTGGCACCCACGCCAGAGGTCCGGCGGGGGAGGCTGAGCTCGGAGCCGAGCCAGCGGGGACGAACACCTTCAGAGACATGGCGCAGCCCCGCGGGGTCCCCTCCTGCCTGGCTACCCCCTATCTGATGGGGTCCACACCGGAGTTCGTACCCAGCACAGACCGAAAGCTTTGCACACATGCGGACATGAAGAGGAAGGCCTTGTAGGCGTCACCTCACCTGTCCTGCCGCTTCAGGTGGGGAGCCGAAGCCGGCCACGAGCAGCCCGAGAAGGAACGCTGCGAGACCCCGCGGCATGACGACAGCCACGGCCCTGGTGCCGGGCACCTGTCGCCGCGCGTGAGCTCCTGCCGCGGAGCGGGACGGACTCCCCGGGAGGTCTCTCGTGTCCGTGCTGGCTCCCAAGCCCGGACTGAGGCCGCTGGCACGTGAGGCCCGCCTCCAGGAAGGGAAGGTGCAAAGCCAGGGGCCGCGGCACACGGCCGCTCCCCCTATATGCGTCCCAGCTGAATGACAGGATATCCTGCCGGGCCAAGGCGGAGAGCAAGCCCCTGCCCCGGCCATGCTGCCGTCCCCCTTCTGTCCCGCCTCCTCTGCCCATGGCCTGCCAACCGTATGGCCCCTGGTGGCAAACTGCAGGCCTGCCTCTGAGAGCACAGTTCCGAGCCGGCTGCCGGCTCCACTGCCAGCGTTGGGGCGCCCACAAGCCGGGGGTCCCACAGAGGGACGCTGCAGAAGCTTGGGGCCATCACCTAGGACAGGGAGGCGGCCTCCTTGGAGGGCTGCAACCACTGCCACAGCCTACCCCTGCAGTGCCTGTGGCTGGGACTCCAGCTCACCCCCTTCCCTCTTCCACGTCTTGTCCTAACAAACCATCACAACTGTAGGTCTTGTTTCCCGCTTTGAGGCCCAGATCGGATGCCGCCTCTTACAGGAAGCCTTGCTGCTCTGCCCCTCCAACACCACTCGGAAATTCTCCCAGCATTTTGCATATAACACTGCGGACGTCCAGTCGTATCTGTCACTGTCCGTGCGTCCATGTGTCTGTAGCCCATGCCCCGTGGTGAATTCCTTGAGGCCGGGGGTGCCAGCCTTCCTTGACTCTGAGCCCCTGAGATCCCAGGGCACAGACCTACCTGCAGCTGCAAGTAAGAAAAACAAACAGTGGGCACCCCCGTGGCACAGCGGTGTAGCGCTGCCTGCAGCCTGGGGTGTGGTCCTGGAGACCGGGGATCAAGTCCCACGTCAGGCTCCCTGCATGGAGCCTGCTTCTCCCTCTGCCTGTGTCTCTGCCTCTCCTCCTCCCCTCCTCTGAATGGATAAATAAATCTTTAAAAAGAAAAAGAAAAGAAAAACAAACAGTAATGGTCAACACTTGAGAACTTTACTACACGCTAGTCAGTAGGCTGACTTCCCCGAGGGTCACCCTTCCCAAGCCTCACAGCTCTTGGAGAGATCCTTGGGATTGTTATTATTGTTATTCCCCACCGTACAGGTAAGGAAACGGAGGCAGAGAGGCTCGGCAGCTTTTCTGAGATCCCACAGCTAGCAGGTGGGCACCCAGCCTTCCCTTCCTGCTGTGCCCAGACAGGGAGTGTGCGGCGCACTTGAGGGACCCAATGGGAGAGTGTGAGGCTCAGAACCAGAAGGGACAAAGGCGGGCTCGTCAACAGGACAGCACAGGGGGCCCGTCCCCTGGCACCAGCACTGAGTTAACCGAGAGGTTCCGGTGGTACTGACGCCAGGTGTGCTGACGTCATCCCAACCCCTCCCCGCAGCCTTCCCCTCCTTGCATTTTGGAAACAGCAGGACACTGTAGGACCGTAGGACCAACCACCCAAGAGGCTCCCACGCAGACGGGCCATCTGAGGCTAGCCCAGGGTCTGAGCGGATGGAGCCCCCTGGGGATGCGCTTAGCGCCCCTGCGTTCAGTGGAGACTCCTGGGGGCCCGACCCCCTTTCAGAACTGCCCAATCAGGACCCCTGGCTGTAGGGCCCTGGAGAGCCTAGTTTTTCAAGGCTCTCCTGGTGCTGCTCGCGTGGACTGTTCCTAGGGGGAGACGGACAATCGCCGAGTGAAGACAAGGTCATTCTGGGGCTTACCTGCCATGGAGGGTGTGCTGCCTTGACTTTCCCTGGCACGACGGAGGGAACTTGGAGGCTTCTGATCCTTTTCTCTCTGGGGCACATGAATAAATACCTGGGGCTTGGTGTGGGCTTGATCCCCGGGGAAATAACATGAGCCCTTACTTGCATTTCCTAGAGTAGTTCTGGGCGATGCTGCAGGAGGGCTGGAGGTGGGGGTGGGGGTGGGAATCTCTCCTTAGATGATTTGGAAAACCCTGACCTTAACACCCCTTTCTTATGGATGGACCATGCTGGTTGGCCCATTAGAGGTCCTGAGAAGTCCTGCAGTAACGCACAACGTGACAAAACCAAGTGACAAAACCAAGTTCAACTTTGCTTAAAGCAGGATTTTCCTTCTTTTTTAAAAATCTTTTTAATTAAGACCAAGAAATGCTTCCTCTCCTTGCAAACTAAACCTCCAGATCCGGCGTTCTATTGATCCCTTTCGGAGAAACACTGTCGGAGCGAGATTTTAGCCTGTTGAATATTCTATTTTTAAGTTGCTGGGAAATAGAAGTCAGCTTGCTGGTGGCCATGGGGACTCTATAGTCTAGGACTTGCATTAAAGATACATATAACTTACATGGCTTTGCTTAGACATTATCTGAATAGTTTTTAAATTACTTTTCTCCTCGTTAAGCTCATTTGATGCCTATGAACAGAGGGCCTTCAAGTCATCTAAAAACTCTGCCACCACTGTCCGGTGTTAACAAGCACAGTGCTGGGCCAGCGCCGTTGCAGAGTGGGTGCTGTGTACCCCCCGTCCATCACTCTCATACAGTGAAGATGGGGAGAGGCCCATGTCATCGCGGCAGCTACACACATCTCTGCTCTTCCCCCGGGGTCGCTCTGACATGGGTCTGAGTCTCCTCTGCCCTGAGTTGCCCCAGTTCTGCAAACCCATGTGCCCTCTCTCAGTGAGACATCACCCCTCAGAGGCCACCTGTGTTCCTTTTCTGGTGGCTTGTGTGTCAGCGTCCAGAGTCATCTGGGGCAAGGGTGTTTGATCAGCGATGTTGCTCAGGCACCTAGCTCTCTCCAGCATCCCCTGTCATGCTGCGAGGGTGGCCTGCCTCCCCCCGGGGTGGCCTCTCTATGCTCTCATGGCCTCCTGTTCCGTCCTCTCCGTGAGCACACACCCCCTCTGCTCCTGTCATTTGTCTTTGGTGTGCAGACTCAAGAGATGCTGGTTTCCTCTGCAGTGAAAAAATTCTGTCCCTGACTGGAATCAGCAGCACCACACTGGGGCCAAGGCCTCTCTGGTGACAGTCGAGCACTGTCTGTGGTCCCAGGGTTTGGGTTGTTGGTGTCTAGCTCCACGTCATGCCAGCCACTATCAAGATGCCAGCCTTTGGTCACTTTGAGTAACAGAGTGTCTCATGTGTGCTTCAGAAGCATGCCAACAAAGGAGTCATCGTCTTCACCATCATTGTCACTGTCACCACCATTGTCCTCCTCCTCTTCCTCCTCATCAACAACCCAGGCTTTTACAGCTTCTACACACACTGGGCGTTTTAAAAATATTTAGCCAGATTTACTTAATCTTCCGCACAAGCCAATGACATAAGTGGTATCATCATCTTATCCCCACTTTGCAGATGAGGAGACTGAGGCAGAGAGAAGTGGCATGACTTGTCTAAGGTCACAAGGCTGGTAAGTGGCAGAGTAGGTGCCTGAACCCAGGTGGTGTGGAGTCAGAGCTAATGCCAGGCATTCACATGACCCGCTTGGGTTCTTGGATCTGAGCCAGGTCTTTATGCACCTTGTATGGTGGCCCACTGGGCAAGACTTTATGTTTCTGAAGTAGGAAGGACCTGGCTATTCACATCGGGGGGATGTATTTTTTTGCTTCGCTGGAAAAAAGAGCAGAAATTGGGTTCCAAGATTGATTTTCTGGTTAGAATTCAGGTTTCATTCAGTTTTTGCCAGAAATAAGAGGAAATGGCCACAAGATAGCACTTAGGTTTTGCTCTTCCTTGAGCACGGATTTAGAAAGCTGAAACCATTGCTTCACATATGTCCACAAATCGAACACCTCCTAGAATTTTTCACCTTTATGGATTTTCATTTAGTAAAGGGAAAATAACCATACGTCCCTGAAGACTTTCAGTAGCAGGAATCAGCGGGAGTGGTCTGGAGTTGTCTGCTGTCTGCATTACGTCCTCCCCGTCTAATGTGCTGCTGATGACTTGACGCGAGGGCCAAGCAGGGTGAGCAGGACTAACCAAAGCTCGGTGCACGCTATGAAATCTCAGTTTTACCGTTAAAGGTAGTGCCCCAGTAGAAGAGACAGATCCTTCCACTTGAGGGTGTGGTTTTCACGCTGGGTAAGCATTTTCAATGGAATCTGGTTTTATTGAACGAATAGTTTGGGGCTCCATGCACCTGGACGTTTTTGCGTGGGTGCAGTACAACTCGTGGGGCAGGACTTTGGTCCCTGAAACATCTTGGCTACAGTACAAAATACTTCCTGTTTCCTTTACATCTTACTGGGACATTAAAACAGTTCAACAGCTACTCATATTCCAAACCAGCAAATTATTAAAGAGGAACCCATGTTGGTCTTCACTTAAAAAAACCCGTCTCTTTCTTATGTTGATCTGCTAAGTAATACTGAACTCTTTTTTTTCTTTTTTATTAAAAAATTTTTTTTTGAACTCTTTTTTTTCATTGGCCTTCTTCCCTCACTGCCTTGGGTAAGACTAACTTGTGTTTTTAACATATCCAAGGACTTAAATAGTGAGGAGTCTATACTTTTTTTTTAATCATGTTTTGAAATAACTTCTGTTTAAAAAGTCCTCAAGTGAAAGTCTAAATTATATTTCAATTGGCCTCATTCATATAGAAAGCTGTCCCAAATACTTATCTTTACCTTGGTTGTGTAGACAGGAGTCATACCTAACAGGATGATCTTTTTTTCTCGATTGCCATCACACTGTAAGTGTCGCTTTACCTATTCATTTATTCAACAAACATAGGGAACAGCAGACGCTATACTGGGCTGGGGACAGGAGGTGGATGAGGCATGTTGCACTGTGCATTATAGCTTGGACCACACCTTTGCATGTAGTACCTCGCTTAAACCTTATTTAGACCTTGTGAACTAGACTTGGCAAGGGGAGGTATTTTGATTTTGTAGATGTGAAAATGAGGCATAAAGGGTCAGTCAATCAGTATGAAGTAGTAACAGATGCCAGATACTCTCATTTCATCTGCCTCTTAGGGTGGACCACCATTCTGATACCTGATTCCTGAGCTTGTGAGTAGATTATCTGTGGTTCGTCTAAGTCAATCACAAAAATGTTGA